GGCTTGGAAAATCCTGGAGGGAAAAGCAGAAGGAGATGAGAGAGGGGCTGGGAGAGAGGTTCTGAAATAGGAATCTGCCCTGATTATTCTTAAATTTGGAATTCACTTTGCATCGCGTGTCTCAGTGCCATAAAACAGCTCTGGCTGCAGCGGGTTCAGGAGGTGAAACTCTTAAGTTACTTTGTAATTGATGAATTTTTAGGATTATCCTTATTTTACAGGCTTGTCATTTCCAGTCATCCTGTCAAAACCCTGAAATGAACGCACTTTACTTTGCAGAAATATAAATTCTTGAGTACAACAGATTAGGAAAACTATGTAAAATCATAATCCACCCTTTTCCACAGGATTACAGCTTCAAACAGCTTGTCAAAACAGCAGACAGGTGTGATTTTTATCTTTACAGGTTTAAGGCTTCAAATTTTCAGTCTTTTCGCACCATCCCACCTGAGGCAACACAGCAAGCGACTGAAATTATGGCAGGTGTAAGAGGGACCAGGATGATCATAGAATTTGCACCCTGAAATGGTTGGGGTAGTGGAAATCACTGTATTGCATTGGAAAAACATCAAGGAAGAAAAGCCATCTCTGGTGTTACGTACTACTTTATTTATTTATAGTGCTTATATATTCAAAAAACAATCTGCACATCTAAAAAAAAAAACAAAAAAACAATCCCTTTGTTTTCCAGTAATYTCTGGTTACTTTGGTGTTTCTATTGTAAGGGATTTCTGGACATTTTGACATTTCTTGCATTTGCTTCTKAAAGGTTGGAAAAGTGAGGCCAATGGGGCATCACGGAGAGATTCTGGAGTGTCTCTCACTGGAGATACTCAGGACTGTCTGGACACAACCCTGTGCTCTGGGATGGCCCTGTGTGAGCAGACGGTGACACCAGACGACCCAAATGTGATCCCTTCCAGCCTGACCCGTCCTGGGATTCTGTGCTGGGAGCTTTAGGAACCAAGTTGGTTCTCAGACATCCTTTTCCAGACATAAAGGCTGAGGAGCTGCTTCCCAGCTACCTGGCGTGACASAAGAACATAAATCCCAGACTGGTTTGGGTTGGAATGGACCTCGAAGCCCATCCTTCCACTACCCCAGTTTGCTCCAAGCCCCAATGTCCAGCCTGGTTTTGGGCACTGCCAGGGATCCAGGGGCAGCCACAGCTGTGCCAGGGCCTGCCCACCCTCACAGGGAACAATTGCTGCCCAAAATCCCATCCATCCCTGCCCTCTGGCAGTGAGAAGCCATTCCCCCTTGCCCTTYCACTTGTCCCCAGTCCCTCTCCAGCTCTCCCGGAGTCCTTTTAAGCACGGCACGGGGCTGTGAGGTTCCCCCGGAGCGTTTCTTTCCCCCCGGATCACAGCCGTCTCTCCGCTCCCGTCCCGGCCATGGCGGAGCGGCCGCGGCTCCCGGAGCCCGCCCCGCGCACGCGCACGCGCACGCGCACGCGCACAGCCCGCCCGGAAGGAACCGCGCCGGCGGAAGCGCGCGCGCGCCGGCCCGAGCCCGGTGAGAACCCGCGGGCGGGACGGGCTGAGGGGCGTGAGGGGCGTGAGGGGGCTGAGGGGACTGAGCGGTCTGAGGGGACTAAGCGGGGGCTGAGAGCGGTAACGGGGCTGAGCGGGGGCTGAGAGCAGCTCCGAGGGGCTGCGGGCGGCAACGGGGCTAAGAGCGGCCACGGGGCTTAGCGGGGGCGGAGAGCGGCACCGGGGCAGAGAGCGGCAATGGGGCTGAGTACCTGAGGGGTGAGGTGAGGGACCGAGGGGGCTGTGGGCACTGGGGGCTGAGGAAGCTGAGGACTTATGGTGGTGGCTGAGAGTCTGAGGGAGAAGGGGCTGAGGGGACTTAAGGATTTGAGGGACTGAAGGGGCTGAGGGGACCTGGGGATCTGAGAGACTGAGGGAGAGCGGGCTGAGAGGACTTAGGGGTCTGAGAGACTGAGGGGACTGAGGGAGAGGAGTCTGAGGGGACCCAGGGGTCTGAGAAGTCTTAGGGGTCTGAGAGGCTGAGGGAGAGCGGGCTGAGGGCTGAGGGAGAGGAGTCTGAGAGGACCTAGGGGTCTGAGGGGACCCAGGGGTCTGAGAGGCTGAGGGAGAGGAGTCTGAGGGGACTTAAGGATCTGAGAGACTGAGGGGTCTGAGGGAGAGGAGTATGAGGGGCAGCGAGGTGTTCTGGTGGCCGGGGCAGCCCGGGTGGGCTCGCAGCTCGGTCCCGGTGCGAGCCCCGCAGCGCCAGCCCGCCCTGGGGGCTCTGAGGGGGCCGGGGCAGAGCCGGGTGAGCGGTGAGAGCCGGCGATAATGTGGGGAATAAACGCCTTTTCTGACCAGGATTAGGGGAACAGTAGAATTATAGACAGGTAGTGGTGCAACAAATTAAATTCTTCATTGAGTGTGTGTGTTTTTCAGCTGCTGAAATGTGTGCTGACACCTCTTTTAAAACAAGTTATATTCAGGGCTGTGCATCTGTGGCTGAGTTCTGTTAGCCTCTCTGGGCCAGGAGGGAGTGGTTTGTATTGGTGTTATTTATCTGAATCTTCCTCATAAGCAGTGTGAAAGGATAGTGGTTTTTTGGTTGTTTCTTTTTTTAGCTTATGCTTACAGGTGAGTTCTTGAGAGACCCTCAGGCACATCCAAAGGCAGAAGATGAAAAGTTTGGGATTGACCAAACCAGCTTTATCACCCCTTTAAAATTGTTCCTTCTTATACATTGTTACCCACAGAATCCAAAGAAATCAGAGTTCTGTGCTCTAGAATCTAATAAAAGCGTGGCTTTTTGTTATAGGTAATATAGGTAATATAGTAATATGGCTTTTTGTTATAGGTAATATGGGTAATATTTTGTTATAGGTAATAAGGTGACAAATAAGTAGCAAAGAGTATTTTGAGAGCCGCTTTGGAGAGGTGAGAAAGAAACTCACTATCCCATAAAACAATTGTTACTCCTAATATGGGGAATGGTAGAAGTAAAAGAGTAGAATAGAGATGGTGGAGTCTGTAGATGAGGCTGGTGTTGTGCAATAATTAAGAAGGTATAATTAATTAATGTTCTGGTGAAATAGAAAAGAAGGACATAAAAGAAAGATGCATTTTTTTTAGATACAGGTGCCTCCCCTGTGGCTTARGCACAGGTGAAAACATGCAAATATCAGTGTTCACCTTTCTACCTATAGATGGAGATCTGCTGCCACAGATTTATTTTACCCATTAACTTTTTTCCCCTTGGTGGTRGTGTTGGGTCATATCTTTCTGTGAATAGTAGATAAATACAGGTGTAATTTGAGTGGAGTAACTTAAACATGCCTTAGATATTCCTTTGTTACTAAAACAGCAGCTCAGTGCTTCTGCTGGGTGGGATTTTTATTTCTGGTCAGTAACAAGTGTATTAAACATACTTAAATGATGCCTTTTTTGCAAGGAAAGTCTGTAGCAGTTGTGCTCTGTSAAGACTGGAGTAGTTTTTTCCTCACTTCTTTCCTAGTTCAGACTAAAATATTTGCTTCTTTGGGTTGAAGTTTGTGTGATCTATAGTTAATGGTTTGGGTTTTTAAATTTTTTTTTAAAAAAGGGCAACATAATAATTTTCCAGTTTCTTGGTTTCTGAGTTTGATGTATGTGGCCTTCCATATGAAAGATCTGACAATATTTCTTATTTTTACTGGATCTTCAGTGTGGTGAAATAAGCTTGGTGGGACATCAGCCCTTCTGCTTTTTGGGGCTAGAAGCATGGAGAATGTCTCCTGACACCAATTAACTTTTAAATAATTTTATTTGTGGTGTCTATACCAGATCTGCATTTTGCATAATTCGGCTGTGGTGCTCTTAACTGAGGAAACAAGTGACACTAACTTACTACTGGGACATTTACTCACTTTTTAAACCTCAGTGTTCATTAAATTTTTTTTCCTTGCTGAGTTATTAATCTARGAATTGCATAGAGTGATGCCTGAGGAACAGAAGTGTGGATGGTGCTGTAGCAATATTCCTGCTGTGTTTGCAGGTCCCTTTGGCTTGTCCCAAAGCCCAGCCATGGAGAAGTGGAGCCTGATGACAATCACTGTGTTRCTGGCACTCACCGTGCGCTGGGCCGTGTCCCTTGGGTCCTACTCAGGTAAATTATGGGGCATGTGATAAATTAAAAGAAATTKTATTAATTACTTATTTATTTTACTGTTATTTATTTAAAATCATAAATAGAAAACAATGTGTTATTTCAGTTGTTATCTTTTAGTGCCTCTCGATTTCCCTGAGAATTCCTTTTTCTTATTTTTTGAAGTGTGCAATGATTAACATCACTATTTGGTAAATAACACTGGAAAAAAACCACCATAACTTTTYTTTTCGGTGCTGCTGGGGATAGTCATTAATGTTTTAGGATGAAAATCTGGCTGTTTCTCCCTGTGCCTTTATTTGCAGAATATTCCAGTCCAGTAATACATTTGCTTAAAACTGTCCTTTAAATTCTCTAGCAGATACARCCTTAACTTACACTTAGCTAATCCTGGTGCTAATGAAGACAGTGTAGAGGTGACACGGAGTGAACAATTACTCTGCCTTGTAGCTGCACTTCCTTAAGCTTGTTTACAGCAGCAGCCAGAGCTGTGTTCTGTTAATGGATGAGTTTTTCTCCTCCCTGTGTCAGGAGGCTTGCAAAGAATTAGCAAGTTCCTTTCCAAGCCTCCCAGTTCCATTCCTGCACTTGGCATAGGCTTGCACAAAGGTTGCTCTGCAAATTGAAAAAAAAAATAAATTAACCATTACTTTTAATCCTCATCAGCCCAAAGAATCACAAGCTCAATTAAATTCTACTTCATTTGGCTTTTTTTGAGGCAATTGGAAGCTAAATATGSATTTTCAAACTAACTGATCAGTCTGCATTTGTCTTTTAATAATCAAACCTTTGGATTAAGATCTTCTGATCATTCTGAACCACGTAATTATTTTTGTATTTTTTTTTCCTTTAGAGATTGAAAAGTTGATTCAATATGTCTTTTTATATGTATGTATATATACACACACACTGAAATTTGGGTGATGTTTATTTTGTATTTCAATAATCCAGTGATGGATTTTTAATTCCATTTGATTTATAGCTACAGAATTGATACAGATAAAACTCCAGTGCTCCAGTGACCTCACTTATTTCCTATATTTAAAAAAAAAAACTCTTAAATCTCCATCTGGCTCATGCCAGTATTTCCCTGGGAGTACAATCAGTCCAGTTTCTGTTCTCACTAAGCAGGTTAATAGAAGTAATTAAACTCTGGGGAGATGCTTAGCATGCTGCCTTTATCAGAGCTGGGCTTGCATTGAGGGGAGTATTTGGCATCTGAAGTATTTGCATTGATAAAGCTTTTTTCCCCCCCATGAAAATGATAAATAATAATAATACCTTGCCAGGACACAACTGAAACTAAAGTGAGAATATTGAAATTATCACATACCAAGGGTGTGTAGCAGTTCCCACAAAATCACTGTAACATGTCCATTATGTGCATTTTCTTAGTTCAGGGAAAGTACCACATTTTTCATCTGCACTTGGAAATGATTTTTTTTGTCAGATGAGGAAGCAGTTCTTCACAGCAGAGTATCTTGATAAATGCTTATTGCAGAAATCTCCAGAAAGCCAAAAGAACACATAACTTTTTTTTCCCCTCTGTTAGACTGCATGATGAGGTCTCTATTTGCTCTCAAATATAGAGGAATGGAGAATAAAATCAGCAATATATTAATATGCAATACATAACTGGGGGAAAGCAATCTGTACAAACCAAATCATTTCCTAAATGCTGTGTCCTCTCTTTTTAGGGGCAGGAAAACCACCCATGTATGGAGACTACGAGGCTCAGAGGCACTGGCAAGAAATCACCTACAACTTACCCATCAGGCAGTGGTAGGTTGTGCTTRAAAAGGGAGAATGTTGTGAAATTCTGGTTGTGTTTTACATCTCTGAGTCCATTGTTCATACCCATAGTCTGTTAGATTTTAGATGTGGGAATTCTGGAATCTAAATTTAAGGGTATGAGGTTCATTTATATAGAGTACTTAAAACAGAAGGAAAATTATTCCAAACATTTAATTTCTTTTTATATTATTCCTAATATTCCTTAGAGTTAGCATGAAACTAAAAATTTAGTCCATAAATGTGCTACAACTCAAATTGGAGTGTATTGGAATTGCAGCTCATCTTCCATCAGGGACAGTGGCGTTGTGTTTGGTGGAATTTTTCCTTGGCTGCCTGTTGGGGAACAGACTAATCTGACAAAACAGAAAAAATTAATTCAACAGTGTTTTTGAAAATACATGTGAATTCTGCAGGTCATTGTGTACACTGACCTCAAATCATCCTGTTGTTCCTATTATAATTTTTCTTCCATGTTTTCCTGGGATATCCAGACCCTGACTGTGCCAGGGTTGGGAGGTGTTACATAATAATGGAGCTTTGATCCACTCTCCTACACTAACTGTATCTCCTAAAAATTAGGAATTATAGCAGCCAATATTCCCAGGCATTCCTAGGGGCCAGATCAGACCCTGTTGCAGGCTGGGTTTAGCTGAGGGGCTGCCTGGTGGGCACCTTGGGCTTGGTGTATTTGCTATCTGGTTTTCTAATTTATGTCATTTCGTATTTATAATAGAAGGGATTTTTTTGGGGTTGGGTCTGCTTTGGGAATTGATTCTCTGATACAGCAGTTGTATTCAGTCTTTAGTGTTTGGAACAGCGTATCTTGGCTGACATGCAAAAGGTTGCATTCTAAAATTTAAATATTTCTGTTTTATATTATTCTGTAAAGTCTTGATGTTATTTGCTAAAGGCTGCTTTAAGATCATTCTTTCTTATTCTACTGCTAATTAAAACTCTGAAAGCTTCCTTACTAAATCTAACTGGTTATATAAGGCTTGTTTTTCTCTTCTTATTGAGGCTATTAGTTTATGGAAGGTAAATGAAAAAAAAAAAAACCCAAAACTAGAAAGTTCACTGAAAGCTGCAAACTGTGACATTCTTCATGAAGAATCTGCACTGCCTTGGCAGGAGCAATCTTGAATTGTAGGGTAAGAAGCAGAGATGCAACTCAAAGAAATGTGATTTATCATCAGTTCAGAGGACACTTCAGGCAGCTCATAAAGAATTCAAGAAATATCATTTACTGTAATAAATGTCAAAAATCGGCTGCATTTGAAGGCAGGAAGTGGAAGAGCCAAGAGCTTGCCCCGTGGCAGTGGGAGCAGACAGTCAGAGTTTCACTGTGAGATGAAAAGGGGCTGCTCCTTATTGCTGGAACTTTGCTTTGGACAAACTCCTCTGTTCTCATGTGGAAGTGCTGACTTCATTTTCATTGCTGCCATAGAAATCCTGATACAATCCCAAATGGGAAAAACCTTTTCCTTTCTTTCATGTGGTCCACCTGGGTTTTGAGGTACAACACAAGGAGTTTCCCTAAGGAGTGAACTTAAGCAGCTTTTTAAAATATGTTTTTTGAATTCTGAAGCTCTTCTGCTGTTATTTTGTTCCTTGACATTTTTTTTAAATGTGAAGTGAAATTAAGCAGATCTATAAGTTGCCACCTTCTGTTTTGGATTTGGAATACATTTAATATTCAGCTTTTTCCTCGAGTCAAAACCAAGCTGAAAATAGACAGTCTTTTTTAAGTTTGATTTTTTTTTTCTAGGTACTTCAATACAAGTGATAACAATTTGCTGTACTGGGGCCTCGATTACCCACCTCTCACTGCCTATCACAGTTTTGTGTGTGCTTACATGTAAGTTCAGTGTTTTAAATCCTTCTGCATTCCATTYCTCTGTCTGCCAGCTCTGTCAATTTAGATGTGACTTGGATAATCAACTTTCCCTAAAAATTACTGCTGGATCTGTGATGCACAGGGAAAAGTGCTGSAGGGACAGGGGGCATTGCCTGGGAAAGCTCTCATGTGTGCAGAGCCCAAGTGACATTTGATGAGTGGATATCATGTAAATAGAATTCTGTTATTGGAATACTTTTTCCACAAGGGCTTTACTGCTGTTGGAATGAGACTTATGGAATAAGAATGTAGGTTAAAGTGCACAGGCACAGTTATGTGGGGCATCTATGTGAACTGTAAATGGTTTATATTTAATACTTGAGCATGAAAGGTATTTACAATTGTTTTTTTTAAAAGTCCCTGGAACCAGACTGGAGGTGGTTATCTTGTCCTAATAAATATTGTATTCCATTTTTACTGTTCCCAAAGGTTATTTTTTTTAATTGTGAAACAGTCTATAGTGTAAACTGATCTAGTGGTGAGGAAAAGCTTTCATTGATCACTATTGCTCYCTGAAATATTTCTTCTCATTCATCTTAATTCTTGGAATCTGCTCCTGTGCATGTCATCTTTATTGCTGCWAGGAGTGTAAAGGGAAATGAGAACTGTCTGCATTTTGATGTGTCTGTACTTTGTTTTACAGTGCAAAGTTAATAAATCCTGATTGGGTTGCTCTGCACACATCTCGGGGCTATGAGAGTCAGCCCCATAAGTTATTTATGCGTACAACAGGTAGGAAAATGATATTTCCTTGGGATCGTCCTGCACATTTGTCTTGCTTACTAATTCAGCCTGTTTAATATGCAGCTTCTCTGCCTGCACTGGTTTGTTCTCAGTTTTTTAACTTGGGTGGCTTTGCAGGTCCATTTCTGAGCCAAATTCCTTTTCATTATTCGCTCTTCTGCTGTCATTTGTGACAAACAGAAAATATAGAAAGTTTTCAACCCAATTGATTCATTAAAACTCTAAAACAAAGGTGCTTTTTGTAGCATAGACCCATTTTTTAATTTTGAAATTAATATTCTTTTTTCCCCTTGCATTCTGATAAATAGCCTTTCTATTTTTATTTTAACTTGGTTTTTATTGTAAAATTATTTTACATGTAGCCTGACATTTACTGCCTTGCCAGCCTCTTGAAGTCTCAGAGATCTTCATTAGGAATTGATCTAAAAGACAGAGATATTTGAAATTATTACTGTGAAGAAAAAAGTAAAAATATATTTTACTACTTGTATTCTAAATTTATCTTACACCATTTGATTATTTTGAACTACCTCTGCAAACACATGTAGAAAAATAATTAGGTAGCTGTGGCAATAAGACAGCAAACAATATGGYCAGTGAACTCTTGTTATCTTTTACTATTTTCTCTCATTTTAAAATTCTTTTGCTTTGCCTAACACAAAATGTTTTCTGATTGCAACAGCAGAATTTGTTGTTCATCAATAGCTTTTCTCAAACCTCTCTGTCTGCTCTCTGGTAATTGATTGAATTGAAAAAAAATAAAAATCACTAGAATTTAATTACCCTTGAAATGATCTTTATTAATTTTGAAATCAACTCACTTGACACAACACTGATGGATCTGGAGAGCTGATAAACACTTTTTAACAGGAGCCATTAGARGAGTGCATTAAAATAATTCAGAGTGGTCAATGGCAGCTTTATTTTAAGCATCAGTGTATTTGTTTTGTTAACACCTTGGGTGTATTTGTTTAGTCATGGCTTAAGCTGGCAAAACATTCATCCCTGGATAACTTGGGATGTTATTTAAATCTGATATATTTAAACAGATCCTTTCCCTCCTGGAGCTATTGCACATTTTCTGGAACTGGTTCTTGGGAATAATCCGAGGTTTTTCTCGAGTTTTTAAGGCARCACTGAAGAAGAATTCACATGCTGGACTTATCCTGAGCAGGGGAACCTGCTGGCTGTGTTTTCTTGTCCCCTCCCTTCCAAATCCTTGCTGTGGGYAGGTGATCAAAGCCAAATCCCTGCGTTTAGTCTCTTTATCCCCACCACTGGTAATTCCCACAGAGATTGTGACAATCTGGAGTTTCTGAGCTGTGCCCCGACCTCTCTGTCCCATCCCACAACCTGGCTGGGTCCCGTGGTCACTGATTTCTTTGGGGCATTCCCGAATGCCTGCCCTGCTTTTGGCATGTGAGGAACTAGAGTGTGACTGAGGCTGTGCCAGCAGCCAGGACAGCTGAACACGTGGAAGCAGCAGCTTTGGGACATCAGAAATGAGCCTTAGAAACATTAACAAGATCAAATTCTGTAGACTTGTTTCTTTTTGTCCTTTGAAGTGGAACTGCCCAGTTTGTTTGCCTGTAATTTTTCCTTGTCTCCTTCTTGTGGGAGGATTCTAATGAAAAATTCATCTTTATTTTTCAGTGTTTGTTGCAGATTTGCTGGTTTATATTCCTGCAGTTATTTTATATTGTTTTTCCTTGAAAGAAACATCTGCTAAAAAAAAGGCAAGTACCTGGTTTGTGTCAATTAAASAAAGAAAACACTGTTAGAACAGAAATGTAAATTTAAATTAAAACTGAATTAACACCTAGAACACCCTGATGACTTTCATGTCAAACTGATGACAATCACTATAGCTCATATTATAGGCTTTTCAATTAAAAATATTTTAAAAGCCATTATTTTATCTTACARCAATTATTGTAATGCTTTCAATAACAAAATGCTGCTAAGTGTAGTAGCCATGAACTTCTGAATGGTGTTTTTCCCTGAATTTATTACTTGAGGTAAAAAAAAAACCATCTAAAGTGGCATAGGGGGATCTGGGATCTGCTTTGTCTTGAACACTCCTTACATTAGATTCAATACGTTTTGGAATAAAAAATCTCCTGATTTTGGGAGTTATTTAATGTTTAAGGTGTGGGTTATCTTTGTGATGTTTTAAAAGGGCAGGTAATATTCAATATTTTCTCATTTATGGCCAATCTTGATCCTTTTTTATTCCTCAAAATATTGCTGACAGATGATTACTTGGAGAGAATAAGATTCCTACATATAGGATGCACCATGGAGGGGCACATTTTTGTACTGGAGAAGCAGAAGTTCCTCTAATGTCTAATTTTGGACTAATTATTTTTTCCCTCTCTGTTTTGACCCTTCTTTCCAGGTTTCCAGTGCTCTCTGTATCCTGCTTTATCCAGGCCTCATCCTTATCGACCATGGGCACTTCCAGTATCCTTGTTCTGCATGGAAATCAATTTTTCTTTATGGAATAACTGTTCTTTAGCACTTGTTAGCTGAACATGGGGTGATTTTTGTGTGCAAAGTCATTTGAGGGGTTCTGCCCACCCCAAACAGAGATATCAATGCAAACTGTAAGTCTGAAACACATTGGAAATAAAAATTATTGATATTGGCACAAATCAATCCRAACATGAATATCATTCTTTCCATGCCTCCAGCCCATCTCTCTGTCAGTCACTTACTGCAGACAGCATCAGTGCTGTGACAGTGAGAAGAGTGATGGCTTGTGCTCCTGTGATTTGTGTGTGGAGAGGGAATCCCCTCACATCTTGGGATGGAGCTGTGTGAAATSTTCAGCTCTGTGAAACCTCCCCTTGTGCCTTGGCTTTGCAGCTCAGGGAGGTGAGTTCAGGGCTGGCTGGTCCATGGTGGTGGTGGACCCCTCCATAGGTGAGTCTTTGTTAGTAAGAGTTGTGGTTTTGTACTGGTTTTGTACTGGTTTTGTACGTGAACAGGCCAATGCTGTCAGTTCACCTCGTGCTGGAGGTGTAAGAGCTGCTGTAGAGGCAGGGATTTACTGCCCTGGGCTGTGCCAGCCCTGCCACTCTGACGTGATCAATGTCACCCTCTGAGCATCYCCAGCAAGTCAGAGATTTGTTTAAYCTGAGCTGCTGCACCTCTGCAGGATCAGGGCCTCTCGCTGTGAGTTTGCTGATGTGAAATCAATGAGATGTCAAATATACCTGCTGATGTGGAGTGGGAAATGTGAGTGGGCTGAGAGCACCGTGGGCAATCTGGATGTGTTGTCACAGCTACTTATGTTGACAGAGGGAAAACAAAATATTGTGACATTGCTGACAATACAAGAAATAGAAGGGACTGTTTGCAAGGGATGGAGTGAAGGATAAGGGGGAATGGCTTCCCACTGCCAGAGGGTGGGTTTGGGTTAGATTTTGGGGAAGGAATTGTTCCCTGGAGGGTGGGCAGGCCCTGGCACAGGGTGCCCAGAGCAGCTGTGGCTGCCCCTGGATCCCTGGCAGTGCCCAAGGCCAGGCTGGAGCACCCTGGGACAGTGGGAGGTGTCCCTGCCATGGCAGGGGTGGCACTGGATGGGTTTTAAGGTTCCTCCCATCCCAAATAATTCTGGGATTCTGTGTCTTGCTGGTTTATCACTTTTTTTTCAAAAAACTAGTAAAAATCAAAACCTAATACTTTGTTGCAATTTAATAGTAAGTGTAGCTTCAAAATTTCCAGTCTGGGAAGCTCTTTTCAAAGTCACAAGGCAGTAACATTGTTTTTAGCAACTATTATTCATTGTTTGAGCAGCATTAGCAGYTCGGGGAGCTGGTCATGGATGAGGGTGCTTTGTGAGCATAGCAGAATCACAAACCCCTCTGAAGTCCTTGAGCTCAATTATACATAATTTAAACACCAACATATTTAAATATTCTGCACATACTTTTTGGSAGCTGGAAGGAGAAGCTTGTGAGAGCTTTATCCTTAATCATGTAGATAGCAAGAAGAAAAGGTTGTTTATTGCAGAGAATTCGCTGCCACCAAAAGCTGGGTTGGCTGAATATACTTCACATTTGTAATTAACACACACATAATTTGCCTGGCCAAGCTCTGAATCAAACCTCAGAAATATAAAAATTATAATTTATTGGAAGTAAAATTTTTTATCTCTGGGGACGACATCGTAAAAACTGGCAGTGTGTTTTTAAAGCTAACTTGGCAAAACTCATTTTACAAATGATTTCTGCTTTCCCTCAGGGCAYTAATTCTGCCTTCCACAAGTGAGATGTGTATCTTGTCCTTGACATAAAAAACCATATACAACTCAGTGAGCCTTGGCTTGGCCTTGTGGGCTGTCCTTTGTCTGTCCCATGACTGGGACCTCCTGGGCTCYGTGGCATTTTGCTTGGCCTTAAATTACAAGCAAATGGAGCTCTACCATTCTCTGCCCTTTTTTTGCTATTTACTTGGAAAGTGCTTCAAGAAGGGACTGAAAGGAAAGGGGTAAGTGGCTTTCAAGTGTTTTACCTTCATCAGAAATCAGCCTGGCATGGGGAATGGGATTGTCCTTATTTGCATGTGGGCATTCCTGAATTTATTTCTGTGTGAGATACCTGGTTTAAGGTGTTCCTGTGCTGCAGAAGGAGCATTGCTCTGTGTAGATACCTGGTTTAGGTGTTCCTGTGCTGCAGAAGGAGCATTGCTCTGTGTAGATACCTGGTTTAGGTGTTCCTGTGCTGCAGAAGGAGCATTGCTCTGTGTAGATACCTGGTTTAGGTGTTCCTGTGCTGCAGAAGGAGCATTGCTGCTGCTCTGTGCTCAGCTCTGCTGCAGATTTGTGATGTTCTGTGCTGTTCTGTTGCAGGTTGGTGCTGCTGACCAAACTGGCAGGGACAGTGCTGTTGTCCTTCGCTGCCTGCTGGCTCCCGTTCGGCACCGACGTGGAACAAATCATGCAAGTACTCAGAAGACTCTTTCCCATTGACAGAGGCTTGTTTGAGGCATGCATGTTTTCTTCTCCCCACCCACTGCCCTGTCCTGTATTCTTAGATCCCTGGAGAAACCTTCAGCCTGACCTTTAGGGATTTGGTGGGGGAGACACGGTGCAGGGCGAGTAACTCGAGATGGCTTCTTCAGCAGTCGTTCTTTGCCAGTTATTTAATCCAATGTTTAACCCCAGCTCAGCTGGCATCTTCCAGGATATTCTACCAGTAGACAACACTTACCCCATCATCAAACCCATACTTCAATCCATACATTTTTCCATTGAAATAGATTCCATAGTAATTGACAGTGTCAGAAGATGTAACCTTGAAGGTTAACAGCTTCAGCCTCTTGAGTTCTGCCCAGCTCTTCTCCATGTGGTTAATTATTTTTTAAAAAATAATTTTTAAATGGTGTTTTAGATACAACCTAGCACTTTGTTTTTGACTCACCTTGTGCAGGCTTGACCATATTTTCCAGAAGTTTTAGGCCACTTCTGCTTTTGGTTTTGCTCAGGCTGTGGACAGGTCCATGCTGAAGGTGCTGAGCCTTSATCCAATCACTCAATTCCTCATTTCCCAAATGGCAATGCCACAGGAGTTTGGGATAAAAGCAAGGGCTCCCATTCCCCAAGTCACACAGAGTTGCTGCTGCTTTGCTTAACTGGGTCACAAGTCGATATTACACTTTTTACAGCAAATTCTCAGCTTCAAGCTTAACAAGAAAACAAAGCTTTGAATTTCCAGGTTGTCACAGGGATTAAAACAAGTTCTCACATAGTTTGAGTAATCTTAATTATTCTTTTAATCTTTTTTAAATGTAAATGTTATCACAACTGGCACTTTATTTTTCAAATTTAATGTTGATGTACCAACGTTTATTAAAAAAACCCAACAAACAAACACCAAACAACTTCTCCAAAAAAGACACCCCCAAAAAGACCAATGACCCTTTTCCTTGAGAATTATTTGGAATTTATAAAGGAATCGTTTTGCTCACCACACTTTTTATTAAGTACCAAGTTTAAAAATAAAATCTGTAAATGACAATAACYGATGAGTCCAGAAGAGCTGGAGGATTTTAGTCTAATATTAGCCCAAATATTTTCTGAGCTGCTCAGGGCAGTGACTTGCTGGATGCTACTGGAGATAAACGGAGAATTTGTCCACGTAAGCAGCGCTCAGTAACTTGGCCTGGGGTGTGACAGGTTCTGTGCCTGGTTCCCATTTGCAGCCCAGGAACACTTGCTGATGGCTGGAAAATCATCCTGGCTGTGAAGTGCAGTTTGCTGGTGCTGCCAGAGGCCGAGTTCCCCGGAATCCCCGGCAGATTCCGGGTGCTGGCGAGCAGGGACCGAGGGGGCTCAGTTGTTGGTGGGAGTCGCCTCCGTGGGGTTGTGTCTACACAGCTGTGCCTCCAGCAGCTGTCTGGGGATGAGTTTCACCAGCAGGAGAGCTGCAGTTACAAATTTAATTTTGAAAGTGATCCTAGCACAACTGCTAATGTCTTTAGAGTTCTTGATTTATTGGAGGTTAACTCTGTCAGTGCTAGCGAGCAGTGGGCACGGGCAGGTATGGGAGGAAATGTGCAGCACACAGTGAGAAAGGATTCACATGTGTCACTCTTTACTCAGGGACAGTTTCACACCTTTAATTCCACAAAATTATCCGGTCTCATGAGTTCAGTCCCTGTCTCTAGTGCTGAAGAACTATTTCTCACTTATTTTAGAGCAGGTTTTAATTGGGTCTCTTGAARCTTTCCATTTTTGCAGAGCAGAATCATCTCAAGTACCTGATGTGCATCTGCAAGTGGGTTTTGATTTTCATGGTAGAAACCCAWCAATCCTCACCTCCCAAGCCCCATTGTCCCCATAAACATAAGTGTAATTATATATAATTATCACTGATTACCTTTTTATGTCCTTCCAGGATAAAGTAGCCAATATTTGGTGCAGTCTAAGTGTCCTTATAAAGATAAAGAATGTAATATCCCCTCGAACTCAGCTAAAACTCAGGTAAGACCTAACTGAACTGCTTTAGGTAGATTTTATCTGCAATATCTTTTGCTAGAGAAGTAAATTTTCCGTTCTCTTTCCTATACTTTATTTTTCTCCCAAGTCATAAGGGAGAAATGTTGGGAATATTTATGACTGAAAAATTCCTTGCTTGCTTATTTAAGTAACTTGGTTAAAACTGATTCAAAATTTGCCAATTCAAAGAATTCCYTCTGTCAGTGCTTTTAGAAGTCAGAGCTCTCAGTCCTGCTCCTTGACTCAGTGAAGAATTCAGGTCTGGCTCTGCAGAGCGAAGTGTTAATGGCTGCAGTCACTCACGTATTAAAATTGTTTTTCTTCCCCAATCCTTCAGTTTTGCTGTAACATTCCTGAGCCTGCTCCCTGCCTGTATCAAGCTCACTGTCCAGCCTTCCCTCCGAGGGTTTAAATTTGCCTTGGTGAGTGTTTGCTTTTCATTGCTCCTTGTTTGATCTCCACCACAAGCACTGGAGTGCAACCAGCAGTTCTGACAGAACAGTTGTGCAGAGCACAGAGGGTGGGAGCCATGAAATAATGAAGGAATTGGTTAAAAAGTGTTTTATTTCCACAAAAGCAGGGCTTTGACYTGTCCTTTAAACCCAGACCTGTTTCTTGCTCAGTTTCCTTTATTTAACACTGTATTTTTATTATCTTCCTCTGAAGAGCCCATAGAAGATTCCACTCACTTYAAAGCCTCAGAGGGAGTTGGGATTTCCCCTCATTTTGTTTGGCTTCCAAAGTGCCAGGTTTTCTTCCTTCACTGGCTGCAAAATTCCATTAAAAAGTCCCCAAATGGACATTGTGACTCATTAGTGGTTTGAAAATAAAATGATCCCCTTTTCCAAAACGTTTGCCTTCTCTTAGTCACATCATTGAATTGAAGCACAGTGCCATGACTTCCATGCAAAAACTGAGTTCTCCTCGAAATCAAAATGATATGGAGCCGGCTCCTAAGTTTTAGAGTTACAAGATAATTTCTCTTTTTAATGTTTTTACARCATTGCCTAAAACTTAACATTTATCCTAAGAACTGGCTGATGTTTTTTAGCCTGTTTTTATTTGGTGGGGGAATAAAAAGACAATTTGATTACTTTTTGTATTGCCTGCTCAGGATGAGGAGCAAAGTTTGGTGTCCAAAATTTGGGTAATTCTTACCGTGAGTGGGATTTACAGTGCCTGTGCAAGGGAATGTTGTGATTCCTTGTTGGGAATGTTCCTGTCAGGGAAGCTGAGCAAGAGTGAGGGCTCTACCTGAAGGACTTTGTGACTAATTCTGGGTAAACTTTCAAACGAGGTGGTTTTGGTAGGTGTGGGTGGTTCCAGGAGCTGCTCTGGGTGCCTGGGAATTGCACTGAAGGAAATGTAGCAGTTAATTAGCAAGCTCAGCTCATTTAGCTGCTGCCTCCACGCAGAGCCTGCGCCAGCAGACACTAAAGCAGAGCTTTGCACTGCACTCACAGACTGACACAGCTCTGCTTTCCCTCCTAAGGTTGCCTGTGCCTTGTCATTTTTCCTGTTCTCCTTTCAAGTCCATGAAAAATCTATTCTTCTCGTGTCAGTGTAAGTAAATGATTTTCCTGTAGTTTGATTTTTTCCTCGTCTTCTTACTGCGTGCTGCTTTCACTTACAAATAGATGGGATTTTAACAGCTCTGCACATTTGCTTTTCTAAATCACTTGTAAATRAAGGTGTGCAAGTGCAGCCAGGCTGGTCTGTAGGGGACAGTCACCATATTCATGGGAATATCCAACATGGCCCTGGGAGTGCTGTTTAATTAAGGAATAATTGATGGTCCTGTTTCTTCTTTTCATTYCAGTCCAGTCTGCTTAATCATCAATGAAATCCCCTTTATGGCCACGTGGTTTCTGCTCGTGTCAACTTTCAGGTGAGTTGGAAACTATTAACAGAGCTGGAGAGGGATTTGGGACAAGGGATGGAGGGACAGGACACAGGGAATGGCTTYCCACTGCCAGAGGGCAGGGATGGATGGGATTTTGGGAAGGGATTGTTCTCTGGGAGGGTGGGCAGGCCCTGGCACAGGGTGCCCAGAGCAGCCCTGGATCCCTGGCAGTGCCCAAGGCCTGGCTGGAGCCCCTGAGATGGTGGAAGTGTCCCTGCCCATGGCTTTAAGGTCTTTTCCAATCCAAACCAGTCCGTGACTCCATAAAAACCAAGTTCTTCCCCAATTCCAGTAAAGATAAATTTATTTACCAGTTTTCCCTCTTCTCTCTGCACTCTCTGACTCTCACCTGGAACGCTGCTGGCACTGGGATCTGCTCCCCCCCAGCCTGCTGCCGCTGCTGCTGAAGGACGGGCTGCTCCTGGCCTATGCTGTCACCACGCCCGCCTTCCTGGCCGTGTGCTTGGCCTCCTTCTCCATCCTGGAGAAGACCTCGGCAGAGGACCTGCAGCTCAAGGCCTTCTCCCTTTCCCTCAAGGGATACGTGTCCTGGTTTAAGTCCTTTCCCAAGATTGTCAGGAGCCTGGTAAGCAATTTTTATTCCTTTACTCTTGCAGCTTTTCCCAGCACTGAAGTACCAATGGAGGGGGAGATCCAATATTTTTGTGCAATGTGGGAGAGTGCAGAGCACCCAAGCAATGAAGTGGCAGCTGACCTGRCTGAGCTGTTCCATCATTCCTTGTCTTGCAGTTCCTCCTGTCCCTGTCCCTGATGGGAGTTCTGTCTGTCCTGAGTGCTGCGGTGCCTCCTCCCCCGGGCCTCCCGGATTTCTTCCCCGTGGCCGTGTCCGTTGTTTCCTGCGCACACTTCCTGCTGTTCTTGGTGTACTTTAACCTTGTTATACTCTGGGACTCCAAGAATAGAGGGCAGAAGAAAATGAGTTAATGAAGCTGTGGAGCTGCAGGACTGAGTGTGCTCAGTGAGGGSTGCCAGCACTGCAGAGGAACCTGAGTGTGATGGACACAACTGCTGGAACCGAGGAAAGTCAGGAACCACCTTTTTTGCTTATTTAAACACAAAACAATCAAAGACTGTTTTAAAGGAGAAATATTTTGAAGAGCATTGGAAACGGGATTTGGTTTGTTTTCTTTGGAAGTGTCACACTTTTGTTACCATTTGTAAACCTAAAATGCCTAATAAAGGACCAAATTTTGAATTAATGCTAAAATACTGTATTAGCAAAAGTAGCATTAAGTTTACTTTAGTGCAGGTAATGTAGAAACTCGTGCCTGGCAGCACTGAAGTCATGGTGCTGAATTGCTTAATGACAAAAACTGATTTGTGTGTCTCAGTCACTGCCCCCTTTGCTGGGGGTCAGCAGCTCTGGGGTGGCTCTAAAAGTGCTGCAGCCTCAGGATTCAACAACTCTCTTTAACAGAACTGAAAAGCCAAAACCTTGGTTCTGCAGGAAAAGCTGAGGTGCTGCAATGCAGTTTGAAAAGAAAATACCCAAACCCACAGCACTCCCCCTASTGCACAGCAATTTGTAGATGTAAACTGAACTCAACTCTGCAATTTCTCCCTGGGYACAGCTCAGCCTCTAAAGCCAATAATTCAGAGAATACAATTGATTGAGTAGTTATAAACATAACAAAGCATGGARGAAGAAAATAAATCATAAAGCAATTTAGGGTTATATAGTTTAATTAGGAGTCAGGCTATCCTTTTTTTTTTTCTGTATCTATATATAAATATAAAAAGCCCCCCCTTGTTTAAAGGCTTCCCCTGTCACATTCCAGGCTGTCACTGCCCTCAGCCTTAGTGTGTGAATCAGCTGTTCTGGGAACTTCCAGCTGGGCCAGTTATGAGCCCTGTCAATGGAGTGCCCAACAAGCTCGGTGGATTTGTGCASTTTTTCCAGGCTTATTTGTTGTGGAAAAAGTGCCCCCAGCCAACAGTGCCCCCCTGGCAGCTCCATCAGCAGGGAAAAGGGGCTCTGGAGTGGGAACTAGAATTGGGGGTGAGCACAGTTCAGCAATTTCAGTTCACTCTAAACCAACAAAACTTCCATCTTTTCACAAGTATTTCTGATTTTCTGCAGCTGTGACTCTTAACTGTGGCATGCARGAGCTCTGCCCACAGCATGGCCTTTCTTCCTGCAAGTGTAGGCTGAGGGCACTGCTGGGTAGCAGAACACAAAAATAGGGATCTTTGTCTCCAGAGAAATCCCAAASCCACCGTGTTTCCCCCAAGCAGGATCGGGGAAAAAGCTGCCTGAGCCCTGTCAGCCYGAGGAAGGGCTGGGACTTGTGAGAGGAAGATGAAGGTGGGGGAAGCAGAACAGTCCAGGGGCTCGTTAGCCCAGCCCTGTGGCAGCAGGAGCCCAGGCTCAGCCTTCCCTGTACCCAAACATTAGTTTTGAGTGTATCCCTTTTCTTTGTCCTTGAGGTGGCCTCGGGGGGTGATAAAGTGAGAGTCACCCGATCCACCTTGTGTGGAACTGGAAATGGTTCTTAACAGCCCCAGCTGCTTCGGAGGCAAAAGCCTGGTACAGCAGGAGGTCAAAGATACAGTTCGTGCCTAAATAGCTGAGGTGTGGATGAGGGGCATGAACAGCACGAGCTCAGTGTGCAACTCTCCCTAAAAAACACCCAATTTAATGATTGCCATGGGTTCTGCTGGGACWCACTGCTGTCCATCAGCACCTTTACTGTTGGTTCCTGTACAGATTTGATGCTGTTCATCCAACACTACCCACAACAGATCGGTTCAGACCAGCACAGTTGGTTCCAGACTCTTCTCAGATCAATAATTATTTCATTTCCAGCTCCAGAGGTTACAGCCAGGTTACAGAACCTCTGGCTGGTTCAGGTACCCTGAGCCTCCAAAGCAGGGGCTGGGGCACCTCACACACACAGCCAGCCCAGCTCTGGGAGCCTGACAGAGCAGRGGGACAATGAGAACTGACTCAACTCCCTTCAAACAGTTCCTAACCCTTTTCCCAGTTGGACTGCACAGGTAGTGAAGTGCAAAACCATTTTTATTAATGAAAAACTCCCAAAGCTTGAGCGTGTGTGTGTGTGTGTGTTCAGCCACACCCAGAACACATCATGGCGGTGCTGACAATTCGAGTTGTAAAAATCAGTTTATTTGTGGAGAAGGACTTTGCAGTGGTAGAAAGGACATTCAAGTGTGTGTGTATGGTGGACTTKGATAAAAAAGTATAAATCATTTACTGCACTTTTCCAGCCTAATGCAAGGATTTGAGATGCAGGGGCTTCCCTTGGCTCAAAGGGTGAAGTTGAGAAGGAAAGAGAAAAGCAGCTGGGTCGTATAAAACAACTCTGCCCTTAGAGCATTAAATGGCAAAACCAAACTCAAATGTTGACCTTAAAGCAGAAGTTCCTCCATAGCCGTGCGTGTTAATGCTGGGCTGGAAGCTGAGGCCCTTTCCATTGTGGGGCTGGGGTTGGCTTTAGAGGAGCTCTCATGTGGATGACAAATCTGTCCCCAACTGTGGCAGCACCACCAGGGAGTGTTTGCAAACAACTCAAACACATCCAGGGTCAGAATAATCCCTTGCACTGCARAGGGATCGATTCCCTGCTCCTCCAGCCTCAGAGCCCAGGCAGTGCTGCAGAAAGCCCTCCAGAACCCCCGTTTATTTTCCACACACACCAACCCCGCTCACCCAGGGCTGCACAGCCACCCAGGGTGGATTATTTACATTGAGATTATCTGGTTGTGCACATTGTTAAGTTGAAATAGATGCCAGAAATGTTATCTGGACGTGCACCTGCCCGGCGCAGCGAGCGCTCCCCAGCTGGGATTTGCTGGGGAGATTGGTTTACACTCAGCTCTTCGCTCCTTTTAAGTCCAGCCCAGCAGATGGAGAAGTTTGGGTTGATGTGGAATGCATTTTTCACATAATGCCTGTGGGGAGATGAGGAATGACTAAAATAAATAGCAATTAGACAGCGGCAGCATCGTTCATGGGATCTGTTTGGAGTTACGGATCTGATGTCCAGTAAAACACACACACACAGCCTAAGGCAAGGCAGGGCAGCARCCCCTCTGTTCTGAGCTGCAGGAACATTTTGGAATGTTTGAAGGAACAAAGACAAGGAGCCAAAGGAGCAACAAGATGAGGAGAAACACCACAGGATGTTTTAGTAGGGAATTTCTACAGAGTCACTTTGTCATGGTGCTCAACAAACCAGGAACAATTCTCCAACCAGGAACAAATCCCCTGTGCAGAGAAACAACTGTCTCCCCTGAGGCCCTCGCAGCCTGCAGGACACCCAGAGCTCTGTGCACGTGGTTTCCAACAAGTGCTGGTCCTGGTCACTCTGGCAGTGCCTCGGTGCTGGGGAAGGCCGAGAGCAGCCCCAGGGGCTCCTTCCTTCTGTCCAGGAGTGAGTTCAGGAATGCAGCACTCCCGGCTGTCTGGAAGTACCCTGGGAACGAGGAAACAACACAGAAATGTGGGATATGGGAAACAACATTGGTGTGATGACAGAATTTTTGCAAATCCTGCCTCAAACACAAGTTAAATGAGTTTCTGTGGTGATTGAAGAACCCAGAACCCCTTTTCCTTCAAACACGGTGTCAGCAGGGATTTCAGAGCTTGTCCTGATGAATGTTGCTCATGTGTTACATCATCAGCCCTGATGGCAAAGCAGAACAGAATGTGCTCTGAGTGTGAGAAGCTGGTGCTGCTTTTTGCTATCAGAAATCAGAGAATAAATAAAAATCCCCAAAGGCCACGTCAGCAGAGGCCACTCAGGGAGTGCAGCAGAGGAACAGCCATCCCTGGAGCTGCCCACACCTGAGCTCACAGCCGGGCAGGGCAGGGCAGGGCAGGGCTGGCTGAGCACTGAGCAGGTGCCTGGGACAAGCAGGGAAAACGTGCAGGGACAGAAAGGAACTCGGGGAATGAGAACATGTGGGAAAGGCTCTGGAAGCAGGTGCATCCGAGTGCCAGGGCTGCCAAATGGTCCCTGCAGCAGATGAGAGCTCTGCTCCAGCACCCCGGGGCCTGCTGGCTCTGGRGGGTTTGGTTCCCCTCCATGGAGCGGTGAAGGGACAATTCCGGGGTGTATCAGACACACCAAGGGGCATTTCCAGCAGCCTGAGCTGCAGAGAACCCAGCAGGGGAGGGCACCAAAGCCCAGGGATGGGGCCTCCTCAGCTCTCCCACCTGGCACACCCTGACTCCACACTCCACAGAGGCACTAAAAGGCTCAATCTTCCCAAGTTCCCTTTCCCCTCCAAGTYCCCCCACCATTCTCTCCCAACTCTGACTGCTCTAAAACATTTACAGATCTAAAAAGCAGAGAGGAAAAAAATGTTCACCTGTCGGGTGATATAAAACCAATCTTCTACTAAATGTGCCAGAATAATTTTTCTCCACCTCAACCACAGTTAAAACCTTCAGTCTATTCATTACTGTCTTTTTATAGTATTTTTATTTAATAAAACCTATTAAGACTACCATACAAATCTCTTTACTTATGCTTTTATCTTTTAACTGATCAATTTTTATATTGCTGACATCCCTTCTTCACCATTTGCTCATTTAAAAATTCATAGTATATGAGCTATGTCTCTGGAGAAAACGTCTATAAAATTTGTTACAGCTGGCAAATGTGTATGAGTCAGTGATAGCACATGACTAAATGCTTCACAGAAAATAAAATTTGTTTCTGTAGTAAGCAGAACTGTTTAAATGTTATTTATTTTTATGTTTCAAAGAAAATATATTGTGAAGTGCTGCATTGATTTAATACGCAGCAATGTCTGTGTACACGCTGTACCRGGGAAATTTATGAAACCTTTGCACAACTCCTTTAATTGAATTTTCCAAATCTCTCACCACACACAAATAATCAATATCTTCTGCAGAGAAAACCAGTCAGAATTATTACAGTCTTTCTTTTCAATTTTGTTGTCATCAGCACATACAGAGCACCTGGATATTTGTAATGTCTGGATAGCAAGTTATTTACACCTCTTAAACATATAATTGCTACTAAGTGAGTCCAAACTAATGTTTCTTTTCTTTTTTATTTAAAATAATTATATTCATGGGAGAAAGCAGTATTTATTCTCATGTAGGAGTTGCTACATGTTGGAAGAACTACAATTCTTCTGAATTTTTCATTAAGCTTAATACTCYAAACTAGATCCACCAGAATTAAAAATTAATAGCTGTTGCATCTCTGAAAAGGTACGTAGGAAAATAGAGTGTAAAAACAAGGGGRAAATCTGGGAATAAATGGGGCTGACACCTAAATCTAAAATGCAGCTTGACAGTTCTCTGTGTACTTGTCTGGGGCCTGCAGTCATATGTCTCATGTGCATTTCTGTATCTGCCACTGCAGTTAATGGCTTAATATTTCATCTACATAGCACAGGGTGTTCCATCACTGCAGAGCCTGGAACTGCCCCTTTCCTTCCTTCCAGCCCCAAAACTGCCWGTGCTGCTGGCCCCACAGCCAGAGACCCTCTGGAGCCAGGCTGTTTGTAAAAAACACAGTGTGGGTACRACCCAAATCYTGCTGGGATGGGACAATGGARACCYCATCCYGCTCCTGGAGCTGGGAAAAGGAGGKYRGGGRWACTGGGCTGAGKGGGATCTGCTCCCTCYTCTGCACTGGGAGGGACTYACATAGTCCCAAACCAAAACCAAAAAGGGACCAGTGGAGAGGAGTGAGAGAGACAAAATCCAATTCAGCCACAGCAACAACAGCTTTTCATCCCCWGGACACCAAATGGGGCCAACCACATTCCTGTGGTTTAGAGGAAACGCATTTGGTTATCACCATTTTCATATCCTAAAGGTTACCCAACTTATTTCAAGTGAAAGGAACTGAAAAGAAATCAATGCCCACTCAGTGAGGAACTGAGATCAGCTCTGYCCYAGGTYTGGTGCTAGGAAAGCCTSAGGAGMACAAACAGGGATATTCTTCCTCAGKGAAGGGCAGATCAACAAGGCCAGATCCCTCCAGCATCACCATTTCTCCTCAGCCATGTCCCAAAATCTGTTTTTCCCAAGAAAAGGATAATGGCATTTCTTCCCTGCAAGTGRATACAAAGTTGGGCTGAGGGAAATAAATGTGATTTTTAAGTTAGGGTTTTACAGTTGGAAAAATCCACTGCTGCATTCCCCTCTTCCTTGGAAGATCTCAAAGGAGGAGGAAGGAAAGGCGGGACAGACTCCCAAGTATGTTCAAAAATCAACAAATTTGTTACACTTTAATTGAGAAAGATATGAAAATAAACTCCCAGCAAACACCAGAACCAAGTGGTTTAAGTCTTTGAACACCCAAATTCCAAACTCAAGCTGACACAAAATGGGATAAATGGTAGAATTTTGTATTTTTACCTGGTTTGAGGAGGAGCTCTGATTATTAAGGATTTGTTTATAGTTTGCAGTGGTTGTGAAAAGGGATTTATGTTTTACCGTAAATCCAATCTTCAAAACCGTTTTGGCAGGAGGAAACTCAGGAGTTTTGGTCCCCAATCTCTCCAGCTTTGCTTTCATCAGTGATTTCAAGTGTCATGGAATAAAATCCATCCCATTAATCCTGAATAATGCTGAACCAGCCTCTTGGAAAACCACCACTGCCGCCCCAAGAGCACAAACCTCAGTCACTTGTATTAATCCACTGAGAAAGTTGGGAATGTCCAGAACTCAGTGAGGATCAGACTGGCCCATGGGCTGGGCAGAATGAACAGCACCACAGAAAGGGAAGGGTTTTAATTTCATCACAGCCTGAAAAGAGTTTTCCTCAGCCCTGCAACACTCCCATGGACAGCAGGAGCCATGGACACGGTTYATATCAGGATTTTGGGGAATCAAAATTTGTAACAACCAGCTGGAGCAGCTTTCTCTTTTAGAACCTCCACTCCTGGAATCTCCAAACCTATTAAAATTTCCTACAAAATATGCACTCCCAAACCTACACATCCATTGTCAGCACACAGAAAGCACATTCTGGACTCGCAGACACCGGCTCGATTCATCTCTTGGCAGTTGTTTTACAATTTGCTTACTTTCTATTCAAAAACATTTTGTTTACTGTAAATTCRAGTCATGGCCAAACAATGATGCCCTTTTTCCATGCTGGTCACCCAAAATGATAAACTGAGCTGTGCACAACGCCGCCCATTGAGCCAGGAATGTTTTGTATGAAGTTGTTTTAAGAGGAGGTTGTTTATGTAAAGTAAATAAATTTCATGCCTCACCATGTGATGATAATGTGACATTCCATCTGGACCAAGCCACAGAACAGTCATAAGTTTTAAGCCTTGCCATAACTAATTAAAAATAATTATGAAAAAACCACATCTGAAACGAAAAGGCAAAGCAAAACATCTCCACATGCTTCTCTTTGATCACAAACTTCTCTGCCTCTCCTGCTACTGCATTTTCAAGACGGCAAAATTGAATTTATTCTTTGTGAAAGCAAAAGTGACATTGAAACTTCATCAAAATCGGTCAGCCTAAACTCAGAATTCTTTTTCCCACCCTACTTTTGCTGTCCTTTAAGGGAGTTCCCCAGAGCACAGATGCCACCATTGCTCTTGATTTTGAATTGACTCTGCTTTAAGACAGCAAGTGTGAAGATAACAGAAATATCAGAATATCCCTGGGGAGTGGTTGTTGATTTTACTGTGTGTGAGGGAATTAAACAATCCTGTGTGTGTCCCCTTTCCTCCTGCCACAGCACTAAAGCAGCTGGGTATGAAATGCCACCAACTTCAAATATTTGCACAGYGCTGGTTATGAAGAAACCTCAGAGCTGGGATTTCACAGCCCCCTGGAGTGGGTGGAATACCCCACAAAATGCACAGAGTGATAAAGGATTTGCTGCAAGAGTGTTTTTTACTGAAAACACAGCGGGAGGGAGGAGGATGAGGAAGAACAAGGATAAYTGGGATTTTTAAAAGGTATGGAAAGCCTTTAGGATGTGACTSTGCTTCCTTCAGGACCATGCCACAAGTGCAAGGCCATGAATGATTCCTTCTCCTTGCACAGGGGAAATACCCAATATCACAAAAATGGCAGCAAATATTCAATTTACAGCTGCATAGTATTTAGAAGAAACATTTGATTATCACCATTTTCATATCCTAAAGGTTACCCAATTTATTTCAAGTGAAAGGAACTAAAAAGAAATCAAGCAAAAGGAATCAAAGCATCTGTTACACAGRAGTTATGAAGAGTTCCTTACCTCGGGCAGGGACTTCTCCATGGTTTGCTTTCAACAGCTGCAGTTTTTCTGCTTGACTCACTAGTGAAGAAATAAATCCAAAATCAACAAATGTTGCCCCAGAGCTTTCAAAGAAAATAATACCTCTGCTGCCTCCTTCACTCTCAAAGCATTTCAAGGAAAAAAAACACCTCTTACCTATGTAACTGTGCTCAAAAAAATTAACAAACATTTTCAAAATTCAGATAATTCTGACAAGTTTTGCTTTCAAGTCTCATATCCCATTTTGTTGCCATTTTTTTCCTTTCTGCTGCTGATGTGGTGTTTTGTTCCTGATTCAGAGATGGGAAAAAGCTGCTGAGGGAAAGAGCGGACAAGGGAGTGTCAGCAAGAGGTCTGAGCTGTCCTTTGGGATGTCTGTCTGTCTGTCTGTCCCACCTGGMTGGAAACCCAGATTATTTCCAGGTAACTCCATCCTGCCTGAGAAAGGATCTGGCATCACAGTGCAGTGCAAGCAAAAGAAAATGGAATGAGTTTTGGAATACAAGTCAGGAAAGAAATGGGAATTTAACCAACAGCATGTGATGCAGGAATTCCACTGTTTGGGAAGAAAAACTCTCTGGTATCTGGGCTTTAGTGTCCAYCTGTTTCCAAGTGCAAAAAGCAGCAGCCCAGGCACTTCAGGTTTATTTTTTGGGCTCCTTTGGAAAAGTATTCCAGATGTGGCAGCTGTGAAGTGCCCTGATCCCAACACAACAAGCATCTGGAATGGCCATCATTTAAAGACACATGAATAGCGATTTTGAAAGCCTGGAAATTTATATTCAGCCTAATCCTGCTGCCAGGCAAACAAACAAACCAACTTCCTCCAAGAGGAGAAGAAAGGCCCAGCAATCCAAGTGCAAACGTTTAGCTTAATCCCTACCTAACTACCCACTAAGCATCTAACTATTTACCCACCATTTCCATAAGAAAAGGTGTTGCTTTTCCAAGTTTTTCCTCCCCTGTTTGCCTGGCTTTTATGTCCCTGTTGGATGCATTTTTGGGGCATTTTTCCTGAGCAAAACACAAATCCCGGGCAGAGGGAAGAGCTGGAGGGATCCTTGTTCAGTGTRATAAAGGGTTCTTTATTAAATGATTTATTAATTAATAAAGGGTTCTTCTCCTCACCCAGCTCTTGGGTTTTCTGCAGTTCAGCACTCAGGACACAGGAYGAGTGGGAGACTCCGAGGAGATTTTCCAGCTCTCTGCTGCCCTCCAAAGCCTGGAAAACAATCATTAAAGTCATCGTTAAATCCCATTCCCAATATCTACAACACACCAAAAACAATTTGGGAATTGTTCATAAATTCTAAATYCTTCCTTTTCTAAATAAACATTTTAATTAAAACATTTTCAATTAGTATCAGTTTTGGTTTTTTTTGTAAATAAAACCYTGTCAGACCACATGAAATAAATCAACCACTGAATTATTTCTCAGCTATTGATGTACAGCAATGAACTTCATGCTAAATTTAGTCAGGAAACAAAATGTGAATAAAACACAGCAGTGATTTGCATTTTAACATGTACTGGACTATTAAATAATGATACATKAGTGGTAAATTAAATGGTGCAATCCCTTCAACACAAAGAGATCTTTAATCTTCAAAGACATAAAGATCTATGTAGCAATAATTCATATTTCAAGTTACAAATAACTTGAGAACTTCATATGTTTTTATTGGTGCACAAATTAAAAACAGAGGACTTGGAAAAAAAGCTCCTCTAGTTTAAAAAATCCAGTAAGTTTTGAGGTTTTTTRCATTTTCTGGATTTCCAAATCAAACTTGCCTGGTTTCAGTCTTTTATTTGCTTCCTTATCCCTTAAAACTCAAATGTTGCATATAAAATCTCGATTTTACTTTCAAATCCTGTATTGTATCAGTTTAAAAAACAAACCAGTGTAAATCAGACCTTTAGGTTTGTCAGATTTGCCCTTATTTTCAGAATTCTGGGCAAGGAACTTCTCACTTGGGACTGCAGTTCCAGGAACCTGTGTAAAAAAGGTAAAACAATTCCAATTATTTACATCCTCACTCASTGAAAATCCATGTTTTTAATGTTTCCAGAGCTTTTTTTCCCATTGAAATTAGGATGGATCCAGCTCAGCTGGGAGGATTTGTATCAGTGTATTGGACAATGTATTTTCTAGCTGTAAAATAAAGTGGATGGAAGTCCACATGAATATGAAGTGTAGGTGTTGGTTTATACATGTTTTTGTTTGAATGTCACTGCTGGTCTCCAGCAAACCTTTTGAAAACATTGTGAATTATTGAATGCAAACATTTCCATGTCAATGAGGCCTCTAATTACTCCAATTGTTCTGTAATTCCGAGTTCCTGTCACTAAGAAATGAGGCTGCATGTGTTGACCAAGGGATTTACAGAGGCACAAAAAAACCCCAGTTAATTAATTTACAGTTTCACACGGGTATCATTTTAATATTTGATTTTTTCACTGTTTAAATGTCATCTTAACAATTCTGTCCAGCTCCATCACTTGGAACTCTTTGTTTTAGGAATTTCAGCCTAATGATGGGGAAAACATCCATTAGAGGGAAAAACTCCAGGAAACAAATATTCCTTCAAGTGCAACAATGAAAAGGAAGAGCTACAGCTTCAAATGTAAGATTTAATTGAATAAATGTCACAATTATTGTCTGGTGGTGAAAAAGAAATGCAATCACAGCACTGCACCCATAAGGAAGTTCAGATTGAATTCACTCACATGTCCTGCTCTGTTGGAGGCTGCCCTCTCCTGGATAATCCACTCTCAGAATCGCTCTGCTCATTCCCATCTCCTCAGAGGAAGAAAAGAAACAAAAATAAAAATAAGATGGGGAGTATTTGAAGCACTTGAAAAAGGTGCTGGTGGGAACCTGACGAATGAGCTTTTAGAAAAAGCCCCATAGCTCACTTGGAAAGCAGGACTTGGATTGAATCACACTAAATTATAATTTACACTTTTGGAATTTGACTAATYTTAGCAATTCCTGAAAGCCTTGGAATTACAGCTTTAAAACTGGAAGTTGGTATCATCCTGGCAGAGAGTCAGTGTGTTCTTCTCAGGAGTTTTTTATCCTATTAACTGCTAAAATACTCAGATTAAGGGAGCATTATCCTGAAAATGCTGCAACAACTGAGCAGTGAAACTCTCATTTCCYTTTATAAAAACTGCCTGGCCCCAAGTCCATTTTATAAACAACCACAGATATCCTGGAAATTGCTTCCAAAGGCTCCAAATGTGCTCAACTGACAAGATAATATTCCAGCTTGGCATATGATGGATGAGGCAGGAAAAACGTGACCTCTGACCACAAAAGACCTTCTRAATTTACATCCCTTTACACGATCTCTACAATTCCCACAGGAATCAGATTAGAACAAAACCAGATTAAAATTTTATCTTGTCTATCAATACTTGCTCCAGCAATAAAAAAGTCACATCTGACTATCAGAAATGATTTAATTGTGGCTGAAGTTGAAGACATCGTAAAATGTGGAGATTTTGTAAATTCACCTTTAAGTGAAAGAGTTGGAATTTGCCACGGATTTAACAAATGTACRGATCCCAGACAGAGCCTGTGGAATGAGGTGCTTTCCACATTTCACTGTAATAAATTCCTCTCCTGCCATCAGACTGAAAAAGAGAGGCCACACCAAGCATTAAACACTTTGATTTCTTCTTGCTGGATCTAAATTATTGCATGCGAGTACCAGCACTTGAGGATAAATTAACTTTTAATTTTAATGTTTTGTAAAACATTTAAAAACATCTCACAATGACAAAGTGTTATAAAAGTTTAAGCTGTTCCCATAGAGTAGCTACAAGTCAAGACCCCCAAAAATTTMATTTTAAATCTAAGTAGTCAATAGGACTTGGACTTGAATCAACCATCAATTATCAACCAGGTAATACTTTTGGATCAGTACTGTGGGTTTTTTAGAAGGAGAACAGAAATTGTGGGTTTAAATGGACAAGTTGAAAGCTGGGATATATGAATTATATGCTACTATTTTGTTGATATATGAAAAAAGAGAAAAAAGGAAAAAAAGGTTAGTGCTAGATGAATGAATAATTATCCATCTAAAGTCAGCTGTGATCATGTGACCAGACATAGAAATCTGGCCTGGGAAYACTCTGAAAATACTTTTATCTCTGTAGAAAAACAGAGTAGATAAATTTATCTACTAGGTCAAAGGCATAAATTTTGCATTATTATTGTCATTATTATCATCATCATTATAATTATGGTCATTACTATTATTATTAAAATAATTTGTAGTCTTCAAATCCACACTTAACCACCTCTTCTACGCAAAGAAATAAAAGCTCTATGGGAAATGATGACAAAAAGTCCCTTTTTACTCGTTTTTTTAAACAAAAAAGTTACACCAGGTGACTTGATGGTTCCTTAACACTTCAAGAGGTAGTAATTTATCCATCCATAAAAGCAGCTCAGTATATTAAAAATCTACTTTTTAAACAAAGTTTGCATCAAAAACTGTGACTGTAACTAAGTGGACATAATTGTCTTAAAGTGAACTGGAAATAACGTAATTATTACGATCATACAAAGTGCATTTTCTGAGAGCTAATGACAGTCAGTGTTATGTTAATTAAAATTTGCCTTACTCAGTTGTTTCATAAACAACCCCAAGATTTACATTGAAAAAAAATTCAAGCTTTAAACCCAAGCTTGTCCAAAAGAGATCAAAATTCTTCAAGAGGAAAAAGGAATCAAACACAGCACATGAGACAGAAGTTCCTAAATGCAGCCAAAAAGCAGGAAAATGTTGTAGTCAGAAWGATGGAATGTTCAGCTCACCCTGTGCTGGGGGATTTTGGGGTTTYTGTGCACTGTGACCCACGGGAGAGGAAAAGGGACTCATCTGGCACGTTCCTGTGGTCGGTGAGTAAAAATTCAGATTTCTCCTTTTGGCCTTCTCAGGGGTTGCATCAGCTGGCTGAAATGGAGAAAAAACATAAAAAAATAATCCAGAAGAATASTGAGAAAACAAATCTGAACTTTTAYTAYCTGGTAAGATTTTCCTAACTTCATGAACTCCCATTATGGAAAGCCCAAGTTAAATGTTGTGGTGGGTTGACATTGTACTCACTGAGCTGCTCCATCACTCACCCTCCTCAATAAGATTAGTTTAGCTCTAAAAGATAAAAATAACTTTCAAACTTTGCATCCCAGTTTCCATAAAAACACTTGTTTTCCAGAGATTTAGGTATTCTGGCACAACCAGGTTGGTTGGGTTTTTTTTTAAGCAGCCAAAATCTGGTATTATTTTTCCTCCAGTATTGAGAATTTAGGACACAAATATTTTTAGATTTTAATTGCATCAAAAGTTACTTCTAATTTTTTTTTAACAAGTGTTAATTGAAAAACTCCAAAGTAAGTCCCTTAAATCCAAAATTTTGTCTCTGGTCCAGGGKTTCAGTACATCTAATGATACAAGAGGAGTTATTTAATGATGTTAAAGGATTTGTGCAAAGAAGTTTTCAGAAGAACAAGTCTGTGATGCTGSAAGATGAACTGGGATTATCTGGGACACAGTTCCCTCTCTAGAACAGATGCTGAATTGCAAGGATGAGAAACTGGGATTTCACTGCATTATTTATCTACTGAAATTAAAAAAAAAACCCACAAAACTTTACTTTATAACCCACCAGTGATAGTGCTGGTCATCGGTAGTGGGATTTCCACCAGATTTTAAAAGATTTCATTTGCTGCCCATTTGCCTCTGTCTTTTTTTGTTCTCAAACACCCTAAATAATTTCACCCCAGCCATTTATACTCTTGTTGAAGCCTGGGAGTATTTAAACTACACCTGATGGAAATCCTCAGTCTGCTGCTGCTGATGTTTTGCCACGTTCAAGCAGGTTAAAGAAAAGTTTCAAATAATTTTCAAATGAAATATTATTTACAGTATCAATGCCAATTTAAGGATTCACAGGTCATCAAATCTCCTTTGTAAKAGGAAGAATCTCCAAACATTTCAGGCCACTTTTCCTGCTTGAACAGAAACCATCTCATCGATTTCTGGATATGGATAAGGTTATTTTATACAATTACCTGGAGATAATTCCTGTAGCACTTACAAGGACAGTTTTTATTTGTTTGATTCTTCCAGGAAGAAGAGTTTTTGTCCAGTTWTGCAATTTTTAAACATTACCATGCTAACATTCCAAAATCTAAAAATACTCATTGGTGATCTGGTTAGTTCATGAGAATTTTGACCAACGGAATGAGAGATAAACAGGGAAGGAATGATACAAATAGCAAAGAAACCTCACCCAAACCATGAATTTACTACTTTCTGTTCCTTCTTACCTTCTGTAAAGTAATTTAATTTAAATCTTTGACATGCATCATGTCAGAACCATCATGTGAATCAAAAATCAGGGTAAAGCCAAATCACTGAGCCTCCACTGAAAGTTTCTGGCATTCAGATGGGCTTTCCTTTAGCTTTTTGCTGTACAAGAACCTGACTGCAGGTTCAATAATTCTTTTTATCACATGGAAAGGGGCAGGAAAGGAATGGCTTTAAAGCATTTAAGTGGACCAATCATTTAACAAAATGTTACAACAGCTCAAGAAACAGATGCAAAATTACAGTCACAGCTGCATCCTGAACAGAACAAGYTGGGTAATGGTACACTGAGCTGCTAATTAAACTGCTAATGAATTTTTTTTTTAGTGCCACTGCGGTATTTTGCCACCTCTGTTTAAATTTTCAARAAAGAAGTATCTAGAAAATCTTTAAATGGCCAATTTCTACCTTGCTCAATACCAGTGAGGCCTCCAAGTATGTGCTGCATATAAAAAAAAACCTCTTCAAAACGACACAGGCGTGGAGATTTATCAGGAGCTCGTTTGCTGACCAGCTCTTTTTCCYTGCACTTTTCCAAAATTTCCTTTCCTTTACACCCTGCCATCCTGTCTGCAGCAACACCCACTGTGGGGAGATAATAAASTGACATATGTCACGACACGCTGGTGCTGCGAGGCTGCCGGAACCGCATTTACAAAAAAATAATAGCAACAGTATGATTTTATTTTTATTGTGATAACTGCGGTGAAATTTATGGCAGCGCTCGTAGTTTATTGTTTCATTATGCCAGATTAGCTGAGGGAGGTAATTACAGCCCTGACATGAAAATGCCTTTAATGTTTTCATTTCAATTTTGCAGTTTGTAAGATGCAGATTACAGCATTATCATAATTCCATATTGTCACATGTACAATTACATGGCAGAACGTTTGCTTCCCAGGATAATGGAGCTAATTTCTAATAAATGATTTCACTGAGGATCTTAACTCATTCAGCTCTTGGGTAAATAGTGATGGCAATAACAATATGCAYATTTTTCAAGTGATTCATGCAGACRTACATTACTTAACGCCAGGCAGTTCTGTGACAAATGAAATTCAATAAATTTTATACTAATATTTGCAGCAGTAATTTTGTGCTTTAAGATTTGCCCAGCCAACATCCAATCTGTAACAATACAAAGGCTGCTAAAATGGAATAGATTGTTTATATACATGTTTATTTTTGCACACAGATATATACACATACATATATTTATATATAGATATATATATACAGCCCAGATGGCTCCATACACCCAAAAATACTTACATAATCTTTTTTAACACTGTCCAACTTTAATGCTCTCTTAACCCTGCAAGAGAAAAATAGGGACAGGTTTTATGGTCACGTAGGCATAAAGATTTCTGTTAGCAAGGTCTGTAAGTGATAATGTTAAAGACAGTTTTCTGGTTTTGGTTTCACATTTACTGATGGCATCCAAAGCAAATCCATTCGCTGTACCAAGAATGTTGCTTGTTTAGAAGGATAAAGTGTTTGCCTAAGAAAATCTGATTCTCCATTTTATACCAGACATAAAACCAAGGCACTGAAGTGAAATCACGCTGAGAATTTATCTTTTTACTCCAAGACTATAAACAACAAAACCCCCACAAAAGCATTTTCATTTACATACCTTCTGAGCAAGGGTTGAAATTATTTTGCCATTAGTCGAAATAATGTTTAAGACATTTAAGACACAGGTACAGCCAAGGTGAAAAAAGTAGTTTTTCCCATCATTTTAGCTCTTAACATGATTCAGTGCTACCAGACTATGACTTAACAGGGGAACAGATGCTCTTATGTCTTTACAGGTCCCCAAACCATAAGAAACTGTTTGCTTCCCTTCTTCCCTCTCCTGATTCAGGAACATGCCAAGCTCTCTCTGCAAAATCTGCTCCTCTGAACTGGATGCCCAGCTGTTAATGGCAACACTGGAAGAGGAAARCTGAATATTTATAATACTTTATATGGTACAGCTGTCTTCTAAAGAGCAGTCATCAAAATTTTATTGAATGCAGGCTAAATGCTCCAAGGAAAGAAAGGTCAACATAAATTAAGACTATTTTTCCCAGAGACAACGGAAACTTTTTAAGCACGTTCCTAAATCTTAACAATAGTTTAAAGGATGATATAAAACGATGAGGAAAAAAAAAATCTTTGTAAGAACAGTCCCCTAGAAACATATATATTACATTGAATTAAACAAGGTTTGGAATRTGCATCATATTTCAAGAACTTAGTTCGGTTTTCATCTTGGAAAAGAATGTTTTGCCTCGTAAGGGATTCAGATGACCTCATTCCAAACATATCCTTTTAAAATTTATGTTGCTATTCCAAAACTGTAAATTAAAGTATTGGGAAAATAGAATGGAAACACATCTTTGATATGTAACTCAGGCAAGGGTCTTATATGAAAACTGTTTTACAGCTATCTCTATTACAAAAAGGGGAAAAGAAATATCCTATCTTAAAAAAGCCAAGTAAACAGGTAACATTTAAATTAAAAAAGCCTCTGAAATCCTGGCCAAAGGGCAGCCAAAGCTGTAACAGTTTGATGGAATTCTTTACAATGTATTTCTTTTTTAAGGAGAAACCCATATTGCTCAAGGAATCCTGACTCCATTACAGCTTCCAGCTYGTGGCAGCAGAGAAATATTCCATTTATTAATGCATCCACACTGAAAGGGTGCTCTGGGGGCCAATGCATTTGCATGTTACACTCAGGCATGTTCTGATGGAAGTTTTTATGACAGGCTTCAAAAAAAGCTGAAAGCCAAAGGAAAGCAGGATCAGGACTCAGCACAGCTGTAGGATGAAATAAATGAGAAACTACATGAAAATCCCACTAAGTTATAGACAGTGAGAACATTTCTTAGGGGGAAGGTTGTGCACTGATCAAAGCTACGTTGTTCGAAGTCTGTCAAATATTGAGTTGTACACAGCCCAAATTTCTCCCTGCAAGCACCCTGAACTGTGGCAGCAAAGATGGAGCCTCATTSCAAGCATTTCAAGAACTGGAATATTGTATTGGAAGACAGAATTTTAGCTTTAGGAGGTCAACCTTGCCTCCTGTTACTTAACAGTGTGGCTTGACAGGGAGCTTGTTTTTAATGATTGCTGTTCAATGCCATAAAGTGAGAAATTAAATAAAAATAATTCAAATTTTGTGCTCTAAGTCTACACAAAAACCCTGGCTTGTACCCCTGAACCCAAATTTATCCCAACACCTCACGTGAATATCCTGCTGGCAAAACTGTCTTCTCAGATCTTCCAAAAGAAGACTGTGAAACAAGAAAAGGAGACAGAAAGATGAGGTACGTGGTGAGGGTATTTAACCTGCGTTTCCTACCCCTGAATTAGCCTGACAAGACTTAATTTGTTTTCTTAACCATGCAGGGTATGAGGGCACATGTTTTCAGCCAGCTGTACAGCCTGCAATGRTTATTTTGTCCCTAATATTTATCGGGTTAAAGAACTTTATTGATCTCCAGTAGCCCACAATGTGCAGAGACACACAGGAGCAGTACCATCACATGACCTGGTTAATTAGCTATTGCTTGATAAATAGCAAAATATAGGAGAAAAAACCGAGCAGGATTTATTTCTGCTGGAGACAACATGAAGAGATAGAGCCTGATGGAAAATGGGCATGGGGGATGYCATGCCCTGATCTCCACAGGCCTGYAATTCCTTCCCACATCTCTGCACYGGTGTGTRTGAGAATCTATAATTCAGTCACTGCTGTAATTGTAGTAAATCCTATTGAATCACTTTATAAATATTGAATCAGTCAGTGATTAAGTGCTGCTTAACTCTGTTACACCTGTATCTTTTGTATCCGTATCCTTTGTCCCCGTGACCCTTTTGTGCCCCTGGCCTTTGTGTAAATWATTCTAAATCRATTCTGATCCCATTTTCCTGTGTATGCTCCATCTGTATAATCAGCAACAGAGTGAACCTTTGCCATCAAACTTTGCTCAAGTCATACTTTCAAAAATTCATAGAAAAACCTGCTTTTTTTTTGTCAATTCCTCAATGTTGGCCAAGGGAGGTGTCAGAGGATGGACCAGGCTCTGCTCAGTGGTGTCCAGCAATGGGACAAGAGGAATGGGCAGAAAATGAAGCCCAGGAARTTCTGCCTGGATATGAGGAAGAACTTCTTTCCTGAGCAGTGACCGAGCACTGGAACAGATTTCTCAGAGAAAGTTTGGAGTCTCCCTCATTGGAGATGTTCCAGAACTGCCTGGATGAATCCTGTGCCATGTGCAGGGATTAATTAACCCTGCTGGAGGATGTTGGACTGGATGACCCACTGTGGTCCCTTCCAATCTGAACGATTCTGTGATCCTTCCTCCTGACCTCTTCCACACAGCCCCAAAGGAGTTATCTATGGGATTTACAGGGATACAGAACCACACAATAATTGGGGTTAGAAGGGGTCTCTGGAGATCATCCAGTCCAAACCCCCTCGCCAAGGCACCCGGAGCAGGTGACACAGGATTTGGAAAGTCTCCAGAGAGGGAGACTCCACACTCTCTCTGAGCAGCTGTTTCAGACCTCTGCCACTCTCAGTGTGCAGAAGTTTTCCTTCACTTTGAAGTGGAATTCATTGTTTTAGTTTATAACCGTTGCTCCTCGCCCTGTCGCTGGGTACCTCTGAACAGAGTCACCCCCGATCCCCTCAGAAATGCAAAATACAGAGAGCATCACCCACAGCAGCACCGCCCACAGCGCTGTCCCAGGAACCACCATCACGAGCATTTCCCGGGCTCTGTTTTCGTTTGGAAACAAATCCCTCCCTCCCGCTGGCCGCTCCTCCCGGCTCCAGGCCGAACCTGGGCGCACTTTTCCCCTCACGGAACGCGCTCGGGAGCCGCAGCCCGCCGGGAGAAGCGCTCCCCTCACGGCGTCCCGCCCGAGCCCGCGCAAACCGACCCGGTGCCGGGAGGGGCGGAGAGGAGAGGAAAGAGGACAGAGGAAAGGAGAGGAGGAGGAAGAAGAGGAAAGTGAGAGAGAGCGGACGACGAGAGAGAAGAAAGGAGAGGGAGAAGAAAGGAGAGGGAGAGCAGCGCTGCCCCGCTCCCCAGACACCTACGACATCGCGGAGCTGCTCCCGCCACCGCCGCCCCTTCGGAGCTCCCGCCGTGCGCCCGCCAAACGCCGCCGGCTGGAAACGGCGCTGAGGGCAGGGCGGGCCGGGGCGGGGCCGAGGAGTCCGGCCGGGCTGCGGGGGTGAGGCAGAGACCGGGGCCGAGAACGGACC